CGGGGGGGCCTTTCTCCCATCCTCTACCTCCCTTTTCTCCGCCAGGGTGCCCGAAGGCCGGTCCGCCGAGCCAAGAAGCCGCCCGCAAGGTGCCTCCGCAGAAACCCAAACGCAGCCCCAACACGCACCTCTCCGTCTCCTTCGACGAGGCCTACTCCGGGCGCCTCCCAGGACCCGCTCCGGGAGGCCCCGCCCTGCAGCGCTACGGCCGCTCCGCGTCCCACGGCCAAGCCAAAGGCTCCGACGTCGAGGAGGACGAGCCGGTTTACATCGAGATGGTGGGGGACATTTTCCGGGGACCCGGGCCGCCGTCGCAAGGCGTCGCCGCGAACGACGACGACTCCGACGAGAGCGAAGCCATTTACGAAGAGATGAAGTATCCGCTGGCCGAGGAATCGGCGGAGGCTCGTCCCAACGGGGGCTTGGCCTCTCCCGGGCACCGGCCGGTCAAGAAGGAGGGCGCCAAGATGGCGCCTGGCAGTAAAACCTCCCCGTGTGACATCCCTGCCCCGTTCCCCAACCTTTTGCAGCACCGCGCCCCGTTGCTGGCTTTCCCGCAGGGCAAAAAGGGCTACAAGGGAGGCCCGGACGGCTCCAAACTACCCGTTCTGTGCCATGCCAAGGATGCCCCCTCGGCCCCCATGACCCCGCAGGTGCCCAGCCACCACCAGCAGCGAGGCGGGGCCGACAATCCGGCCTTGGCGCCTTCCGGTCGGGCTCGTAGCCACTCGACGCCGTTGCCTCCCCAGCCGGCCGGACAAAGCAAGCCGGACAAGGATTTGCCCGTATCTCACAGCATGATCTGTCCCACCGCCAAACCGGCTCCGCCGGTGGCTTTCGCCCCTTCCGGTTTGCCGGGGAAGGACAAGCCGTCCGTCTCGTACACCATGGTCTACTCGGCGGTCAAGGTGACGACTCACACGGCGCCCTCAGAGGCCAAAGCCGAAGAGATCTCGGTGCTGCAGGGCCTGCTGTGCAGCCGGCCTTCCCCCGTGCCGGATGGCCGGCCGGGACAGCGGATCTGCCCGTTGCCCGAGCCGCCGCCGCTGGGTATGGTCTGGACTTATCCGGCGCCCTGCGCGGGGCTGAAGCGCCCCCCG